ATTTATTCTGTTTTGTCTTGTTGTTATCTCTAGGTCATATTTTAGTGGTTGTTTGCACAACTTGTAGGTCTTTACTATATATTGTACATTGCAGATTATAAGTGGTAGATTTATTATTAGCTCATTAGTAATCATTGAGACTATTCAGAGAGAATTTCTCATTTAGTTTCCATTTTGATGTCTCCTTGAATATATTTGTTCATGTCACTACCCTGCTTAAAAACCTTAAAGACTTCTTGGCTTGGCATTCAAGGTACTTAGCAGTCTGTCCCCTATTTACATTTCTAATTTTGTCTCTTAGTACTCCTCTATTTTTTTCTATAAGCCCAAGCATAGCCAGCTTCTTTTTATATCCTAAAACCCTACTGATCTTTTGTGACTTTATTCACACTAATTCTCCAGCCTAGAATACTTTCAAATTCATACCTGCTGGTAAATTTTTCTTCTTCCTTTAAGATGCTGCTCAAGCACCAAGGCATCTCTGAGGCCTCCCTGATCATCATCTCTGTTCATTCCAACAAAATCAATAGCTTCTCTTCTCTGCTTTCATAGTCTTTTTAAATTACCTTTGTTGGCACTTATACTGTTTTGTAATCTTCTATTTATGTGTCTGTTTCCCTCACTGGACCAAATCCCTTTAAAAAAAAAGGCACATCTGTTATCATTCTTTGTAGACCCAATCACAATGTTGGGTCTATCTGAAATTTGTCACAAGTTTTTGCTGAATTAGTGTATAAATAAATGATTACTAGGCACATTATAGAATTAGCCAAAGTTCTTCCTTAGGGAGAACTTTATATATACACATACCAAACACTTACTCATTCACTCACATAACCCTTGGAATTTACCCAGGAAGGGGGCCCCTCTAGGATTAGTTCAGGTCCATTGCCATAGTCTATGATGGTTACACTGGCCTTCTTTCCAACCCACCTGGAAAAACTCAACTTTCTGTCTTCTCTTTAAACCACTTAAATCACAGATTTCTAAGGAAGTCTTTGCCTTGGCAATTTCTCTTCTCTCCCCATGGACTATCTTTCTTTGTCTAACTGAAAGTTTGTCTTTACCCAAACTATGATATGGGGAGACAAAAGATGAATTAATCAAACCAAGCCCCCTGGGGAAGCTGAAGAGAGCAGGAATTCCTGGAGTGCAGGGAAGACAGCTTTCCCATGGTGCCTAGTGTGGTGGTGTTGACCTCCTGGCCTTCCAGGAACTGTCATTTAGGATTACTACTGCTTGTAATTAAAGACACTTAGGTCAGCCTGAAAGCAGTAGTTTTTAGGTACATAGCTTTCGGTCTGGGCTTCTTCAAACTGCTTTCCATGAGGAGCTATATTGTGAACAGTGAACTCACAAATGATTCCTCTGCTCTTAAAAGTAAAAGAGGCTGCCTCATAGAATTGTGAGACATTCCCTAGGACAATTCTGGATTCTGACACAGAACACTGGCTATTTCAGAATGAAGTGCTTTTTTTTTTCAAACTTGGTATTATTTTAAAAAATGAGTGAAGCAGTATGAAGTCACACTTGAAATGTAGATTTTAATTATAACAGAAGGTGGATTTTAGGCTTCAACTATTCAGACTAATAGCACGCCTTTTGAAAACAATTTTGTAGTATTCTATAGAATTTTCCTTATGTGTTTAAAAAAGCTTACATAATATACAATCTTCATTTTAAAACTTCTGAATTTATACATACATACCCAGTGGTCTGTATTTCTACTGCTGCAACAATAATTCCTTAACCATTTTGTTTCATGAAGCAAAGTTTAGGGAAGCTAAGGAATACTTTCTAAATATTCTTTTGGCTCTGTGCCCTAAATATGTTCTTAAAATTCTGACTCTCATCAGATATCAGGTCTGGTTTAAAAGTGGTTTCAAACCTTGGCTTCCCTGGATAAGTCTCTTCTTCTCAAATCTTGGTTCATTGATATAACAGTCCTAGTTTAGGTCAGGATGTCCCCATTCATTTTTCACTTGACTTTCCTTGGAAGAGAGGAGAGGAGGCAAGAACAAAGGGATGCATGCCTGCCTTGGAGCATTCCTATTTTCCATTTCCTAATTCACATGTTTATACTTTGTACTGTACTGTGCTTGAATTTCTAAATTTATGGGAACATTTTTTGTGAGTCCTAGATATCTGCTGAGTAATTAATTCACTGTCAGTGTCCTGTAGACCGTATGTACTATGGGAGAAAGGGGCAAGGTCAATATAGGGTAGTTGGTGGGGTGGGACCTGAGTCTGTCCCTTGGAAAAGAGTAGAATTTAGTAAGACAGAAGAGAATAGGAAGGATATGTTAAGACTGAGGTATGGAATGAGAGAGAGAGAGATGGGGCCTATGTAAGACATGTCTGGGAGAATCAGTTGGTATGGAGTAGAAGATCTACTTAATACCAAGGTCTAAAAATCCACCATGATTTCTCTTAGTCCATTGGAGAGTAAAACTTCCCATTCACAATGAAATACATCTTTTAAATGAATAAATAAATGGAAGCTATTTGGTTTTGCTAGAGGTGGAGAGAAAGCTATGACAGTAAAAGCAGATCTCAAATGTTAATCACCTGTGGCATAGTAGTTAACTTAGAATAATATTGAAATGTTTTTGTATCTGACATTCTCCACAAGCCTGTCTCCTTTTATGTGTACGCATGCAAGTATATAAATTGCTGAATCCATGTCAGTTGTAAAGTAATGGCACTGAGGGCATCATAAATTACCATGGTGATCCTCAGGAGAAGACACTGGCGTATCTGAATGAGTGTTTCACGTCCAGAGTAATGTATGCCTTCATCTGGCCCAGCAGTCAGCATATTGCCCTGTGTTGATGGATATTGTCAGCTGGAAGCTACACTACATTTCACTGCACAATAAACATGGCTGTCAAACCCATATAAAGTGAAATCAATTTCTCCTGTATGGTCAGTGCATTTTAAATGAAATTAATGTACTGTGGGTATGGTGGCAAAAAGGTAGCAGATTAGTTACACGTCTTGGGATCTGAGACTTTTCAGGTAAGGGATCGTTCTGTCTAGTAGGCCTAAAAGAAGGGATGTTTATAAAATAGCGTATTTTTGCATGGCCTTCAAATAGTGGCCCCTCTGCCCTCTTTCATGTTTAGAAAAGAATTGATAATATTAGCCAGTTGGGTCCTTTTATCCTGTCTTTTGTTTGCTATAAATGATGATCATATTTGTCAAATAATAGTGTACTTTAATGCTCTAATTTATTACTAGCTCTGACACTTTCTACTTAATCAAGGTATCTAGAAATAGAGTAGAAGGGCCAGAGATTGATTGGGTCATGTTGTTCCTGTATAATCACTCCACTGAGCTGAAAGGCTTTACTTTTTCCAGAAAGTGGAAATGTTGGTTTTAATGTATATTTTGCTTCTAAACTTTTGGGAGTAGGCTTTCCTGTTTATGCAGCAGAAACCCTGACTGAGGCCATCAGTCCAAACACTTTACATTTAGCTATAGAAGTTTTTCAGTCTATAGGGGGATATTTAGTAGATGCCACGTTGCAAAGCATACTTCCGTGTGTCATGCAAGTAGGATTCATGAAAACAAGCAAGAGCTATGTTCATTCGTTTATTCATTCATTTATCCAATCATTCATTAATTTAACATAGTTTACTAATTACAACTCTATATGCCAAGTGCTTTCCTAGAACCTAGGGATACCACAGTGAACAAGAGCCAGTTCTTGCCATATTCTCAAGGAGATTTCAATCTAGTATGTTACTAGCTAGAGACACCTCTTCAGAAATGATAAAATATCAGAGATTTAGATAGAGTTTCATAGGGGAATGTTTAAGAACTACTCTTAAGCAGCAGAAAAACGTATCAGGACCCTTGAAATAAATGCCTTTTAGTCTACTAGTTTGCATAGAAGTTGAAAACCAATCTTTTACTTAATAAATATTTATTGAATATCTATTATGTGGGAAATCCTGGGGATACAAGAGTAAGTACAACATAAACACCAACTTCAGGGGTTTCATATTCCTGGGGATGGAGTGGAAAGATTAGAGAGAGATAGTCACATAAACAAGTAATTACTTTGGAGCATGTAGCATAAAAGAAAGAGGAATGAAAGCAGCCTGGGGAACATCATTGCAAATGCTGTTCCTATGGCCTGAATTACCCTTCCCATCTGTCTTTACAGCCCTCCCCTATTCATGTGCTGATCTTTATTCATCCTCCACGACAGAGCTTAGACATTGCCTCTCCTAAGAGGCATTAGCTGACTGTCTTGTCGGATGTCCTCTTGGCGCCCTGCTTTACTTCAGTATCACAACACTGATCGTACACCCTGTGATAATTGCCTGGGGTCTGTACCCCCTCTGATCTGTGTGCTCCCTAAAAGCAGGGTCTGTTTTATTTGCCTTTGCATCCCCAACCCCTGGCATAATGCCTCACTCATAGTAATTGCTCAATTAATATTTTGTATTGAATTAATTAATTCATGAAACACACCACATTCGAATAGGCCTTGAAGGATGAGTGGGACTTGGTGGGATTTCATGAAGGAGGAAGAGAAGGGGATTCCAGGCCGTGAGAGGAGCACTGGACAAAGCGTAATATTGTGTGAGAGAATGATATTTGAGGGAAAGAGATAGTTTGAAGTGCTGCAATTTTTGGCAAATGAGGCTAAAATGAAAGGTGGGAGCCTGCTTTTGAAGGGAGGAATCACAACAGGAAAGGTTACTGTAAAATAAAGCCAGTCATTGCTAAATCACCACCTGCATTTTTATTGTAGTAAAAATGTACTAGGTGTATAAAAACATACAAAATTAATTCTGCCCGGTGTGTCTTTGAGGCCTCCATCAGAAGGGCCTATAGAATTGTCATTTGAAACAGTCTTCTTCCAAGAGGTCACTTAAAAAGAAGGGAAGGGCCTAGGGAAAACCCCTGAACCAGGCGGCAAGCTGTGTTACCTTACTCAGATAATAATGCTTTGCACCCGTCTTGTTCTTCCTGCCCTGACATTACAGGAAGTAAAGCAATGAATGGCTCTGCAGCTAAACTACAGCAGTATTATTGTTGGCCAACAGGAGGCGCCACTGTGGCTGAAGCGCGAGTCTACAGGGATGCCCGCAGCCGGGCCAGCAGCGAGCCACACATCAAGCGACCAATGAATGCTTTCATGGTTTGGGCGAAGGATGAGAGGAGGAAAATCCTTCAGGCCTTCCCCGACATGCATAACTCCAACATTAGCAAAATCTTAGGTGAGTGCAGTCTCTGATGCTGACCTTCTACCCCCAAGTGCCCCGAGAGTGGAAAACAGGGGCATCACCTGACACCTCAGGGAGACTGTGGTTTGCAGACATTAGATGTGGCTCAGCAAGCCGCCTTGGGAGTCTTCGTCATCATCTCTGTGTCCATTTAGGTTTAGGGGTTACACATCCACTGGTGCAAGGGAAGGACTGACTAAAAACTTACTGTACAGTCTGTTATATACCATGACTGTGGCCACTCGGAGAGGTCACTGCTAAACAGGAACCATGGAGACAAGCTTTATCTCCTCTTATTCAGCCTTGTTCAATCTGTAAGTTGCTGCGAAACCTCAGAAACGGGCACAGATCCTACAGTTTTCTGCTTCAGGGTTCTTGGGTTCCTGTGTCCCTCTGAAAGACTCATCAGGACCTGGGGTGAGCCCGCAAATAGTGTGAAATTCATGAAGTGTTGAACAGTGCCTCAAATGATAACTTTAAAACTTGTAAAATGAAACTGCATTTACTTTAATAAGATATGACCAGTTCGGATTTCAGAGCAGAGACTTGAACACACAGACCACAGGGCAGAGGCCCATTTTGTGGTCAATTGCCAGGGTGATTCTCCTGCTTCTCAGGATTAAACTCAAGCCTCGTTCTGTGAGTGTAAAGCTTGCCTAGTGCAGATGATACAGTTTGGAATTATTGTGTTCAACATGTTGAACGTATTTTATTCAATATGCAGCATTACAGTCAACATGTTTCCTCTTTAAAAAGAAAAAACACAGAAGGCACTGTTCTATTTAAGCTGTCATGATGCGACAAAATCTCAAAAGGAGCCGTTTAAGATGCTGAAAAACATTAGAGACTTAAACTGTGGTTTTCGTTTTTTAAATGTTTTGTTCAAAAGCAATAAATATTTAACCTTAGTAAATATCGGTGATCTGGACATACGCAAATACACATGTTTTGTCACTGTATAAATAATTTAACTTGATTCAGAGACATGGGGAGGCAGTAACCTCAAAGAAAATTTAAAACATACATAAGATCAAATAGTGGTGAAATGTTAAAAAAATAAGTTTTTCCCTTTTGATTTTTGAATTTCAAGATGGATACAAATGTCATTACAATTAAGTGGGGTGTTATTTTTAGGATTTCTGAGATATGTGCAGGGATAGTGTTATTCCTTTTCAACTTAAGTACCTTTCAAACCAAAACGCTCCTCATGGATATATTAAATTTTTTTTCCTAGTTAATAGACATTTAAAAGAAAATCAGTGTTTCTCTGTCCTTGAAGTTTGATACCTAACTTTGGAATTTTCTTTTTTTTCTCTTTCTTTTTTCTTTCTTTCTTTCTTTTTTTTTTTTTTTCGCCATTTTAATAGCAGCATGAGTAGGCTCTTAGATGGGCACAGAACCTCTCTGTTTCCATTTTGGCAGCTGTGGGGAATCTATATTATTGGTGTGCATTCTGTGAGAAAAAGTTATTAACATTGTAAGTGTATTCGTGAAAATATACACTTTAAAGCACAAGCATTTCAAGAGCACCAAGAATCCCCTGTTAACTGGGGCTTTAAGCTACTGGGAGTCAGCAGAACCCAGAGAAGCTGATCTGCATAGACTGTCTACACAACTTTTGCACAACAATCAGGAAAGAACAGGGATGGATGTGCTATTAAAGCAGACCAGGATATTGCTGGCTACAGAGAATATTTGTACAACTTTCCATTTGTTTACGTATGAAAAATCTCCACTGAAGAATAGCTAACATCCAGTCAGCACAGCTGTTACCGCTTTATTCACCAGCGAGACACAAAAATGCAATTTGATACATGTAAAAAAACACATCCCTTCTTCGTCAAGTGTTTAGATAATTCTTTATAAACAATATTAGAGAAGTGAATACTTTTCCTTCTTCCTCTATAAACCACATTAAAAATTTTTGTGCTGTCATTGGTACAGCTTTGAATGAACATTTATAGTACTTGAAAATGGTATATAGAATTCCAACTGTACTTTCCGGTTTGAAAGCTAGAACTTCTTAGGTAGGGTTTAGGCTTTTTAATTACCCTGGGCCAGGGGAGACGGTGTGCACAGTGGGTTTTTATATATGGAAGGATATCAACATCTGCTGACATCTTATCACAGAGTAGCTTCCCTAAAGATGCTTGGACAAGGGTGGGAGATGTTTGACTCTTTGGAACCAGGAGAGCTTTTTCTGAGAATCCCATCTGCCTTGAGAGTATGCTTTGGAAGTTTAGGTTTTTCACCCTTTGAGAGACATAGACAGACAGATGGGGGAAGGACCTTGGCATCAGGGGTGATGTATAAGCAATTGTTAAAACAATATACCTTTTGTAGCACCAGCTTGAAGTTATCGACAGAAATAATGTAATAAATGTATCACATGCAAAATTATTCTTTGCTCTTTACAACTATAAAAGACTACTTGGGAGGCTCAGTGGTATGTGGTGGTAGGAGCTACCCAGAGCACAGGTGAGTGACACAGCGGAATGGTATATACAGTATTTACCAGCAACATTTTGCCTTGACCACTTGGGTACTGAGGGCTGTTTTTATGTTTAGGGTCTCGCTGGAAATCCATGTCCAACCAAGAGAAGCAACCTTACTATGAAGAGCAGGCCCGGCTAAGCAAGATCCACTTAGAGAAGTACCCGAACTATAAATACAAACCTCGACCGAAGCGCACCTGCATTGTTGATGGCAAAAAGCTCCGGATCGGGGAGTATAAGCAACTCATGAGGTCTCGGAGGCAGGAGATGAGGCAGTTCTTTACTGTGGGGTGAGTGTTCCAGAATGTAGCCACCTGGGCTTTCCCTTCCCGTTAGGAAACCGCAGGATGGCTACCAGCAGTGTGTTGGAAACCTTGGCTGTGGTGATCTTTGCAGTGTTACACACACACACACACACACACACACACACACACACACACAGTCTTGCAGCCTGGCTCCTGCTCAACAGCTCAAAACAAACCTGGTCGCCCCTCTCCTTGTCTCCCGAACTAATCTAAGATGTTCCGTGCCCACACACAAAGTTGCTGGTAGTTTATTTAAGCAGACATACAGGGAGAAAGAATAAAAACTAACTTCAGAAATCCCCAGAAGCTTTCCAGCTTCTCTGGGTGGTGCTTCTGATTCTAATCACAATAGTCTGCTTTTGTTGTGGGATCTCCCACAAGATAATTGGCCTTGACATTGGTTAGAAGACCTCATTTTTGGCATAAGATCCAGAACTCCTGTTGCAGTAAATTATTCTGTGGTGGAAGCAATAACAATGTGGATTTTCTTGCTTAAATCAGAAACTAGACATGTTTTTGATATCTTCAAGTCTGATTTCATGTCATTTTGTTTAAAAATTAGGTAATAGATTTCTGGTATAAATTTCGACTTGGCTGGCTGTCTGCATTGAAAAGAGGCTCCTTGTAACCACAGCAGTTGGGATAAGTGGGGGTGCAGATGCCTGTAGGTTCCAGCATGCCCAGGCTGAGGAGCACAGGGGGTGACAAACCAGAGGACCTTTCTGGAGGCACTGGCCTGAGGCAGCTGCAATCTGATTGGGAAGATACTTGGGAGAGGCCTTAAGAGAGAGGAGTAAGGAAAAAGGCAGCTGGATTCATTGTTAACCAGGGGGAGCATGGATATTATATGGCAGGGAAATGGGACAGCTTCCCCTGCAGGTGAGGAAAAGATGTGCCTTAGAGCAAAAGTAAGGAGCTGTTTATTTTTTTTAAGGCACTAAAAAATAACATCACGGAATAGAAACTTGGTTTCAGAAACATGTGTTTAGAAGCATAAAATTAATTTGGAACAGTAAATAGAATACCAAAAAAAAAAAAAAAAAAAAAGGGCCGGTGAAAGCAGTCTGGGTCATGAATCTGTGCCCTACCCTAGAGAATTCTGGAGAGGAGCATGGGCTCCAGAGTTTGACTGCTGAGGTTCAAGCACTGTGCCACCCACCTGGGCAAGTTACTGAACTTCTCTGAGCCTCTGTTTCCTCATGTATGAAATGAAATAAATAATAGCACCTATCTCATACAATTGTGGGGAGGATTCAGTGAGGCAGTGCTTAGTACTTAGCTTTATAGTGTTTAGTACATTAGCAATAAAGGTGAGTTTTTATCATTATCATTACTATTAAATATGGATTTACTATCACAATAAAGCTATATTTTAGATCATAGCAGATAGTCAGTGAGTTTCTTTACACTGTGGCAGAACTTTTTCGAGGTAAAGGGAGGCTTAAGCTACTTCATTATTTGAGAATCACAGTCTATTAACAGATGAAGCCATGCCAAAATAGGTTTATCAAATCTTTCTGTATTATAAATGTTAGCATTTTTAAAAATAATGCTTTTAACACCAGAAGTACAATGCAGTATAAGTAGGCTATTTACTGGCTATTTAGACGATTTATGAAAAATACCAATTCATAGTGTGCTTTAAGAAGCATAGTCACATGAAACAAAATACACATTTATTTTAACTGTGTGATAAATGTCTTCTTTTAATTCTGCCTCTGAGACTGTATATAATCTCCTTTGAGCAGAGAATCAAAGTTTAAGTTTGAGATCCTTTGTGATTCCCACTCTTTTTTCATGTCATGTCTCTGTGTATCTAATGATACATAATGGGTGTCTTTTGCCATAATCTGGAAGGTTGTCAGAGGTACCATTTTAGTTCCCTGATACTTATTTGAAAATATGAGATGCAGTAATCTGATTTATTTTCCCTTACCACAGGGTTCATTGAAGTAGCTCTGGATCAAAATACCTCAACACATGACAATGCAGGTCAAATTTTAAAAAATTAAAACAACTCAACAGCATCTATCATTTATTGTCCACTATATCTTGTACACTAGACATTTTAGATATACAAATCACATAATCCTCTAAATAAATAATGACATGAAATCCTCTAAACAAGATAAATCAAGGTCCTGTGGCTGCCAAAAGGTGAGAAAGAATCAAGGTTTAATTCTGGGTCTCTGCCTCCATCATACCTAACGACTGAGGAGTTGTCCTTACCCAAAATATGCCTCATCGCCCCATTCTGGCACAGTTATGTGTATGGCTGTGCTACTTGGAAAAGAACTCCCAGGACCTTTGGTTGTGGTACATGATGGCATTAAAGGAGCTTTGAAATTTAGAGACTAAGGATCCTGTTCCTGGTAGTGTAGGGGGTCCTTTATGGAAGGGTCATTTTGGACTGTGGAGTGGGGTTACTGATGTGCAGGCAATGGCCAGAATGTCTTGTTCTTTAATTTTCAATGCTGAGTATTTCCCTCTGCCCAGCTTTGGTAATATTTGCAACCTAAAGCCAGGTATTATTTCTACTTAAGGATTAGTATTCTCTTTTAAGTAGTTGTATTTGATAGATTATCAACTCCCTGGGGTTCATCTTTGGAAATTCATCTTCATTAGATGTGAGGTTATTACAAGAGGGAAAAGAAACAATTGACTTCTTGAGGGAATGGGGGTGAGATCAATTTTTATAGCTGATTTTGAAAAGACATGCATAACTTTCGAGCCAATAAAATTACATATATTGCTCAGCATTGTCATGCATTTTACTGACAATACAACTAAAAGTTCCGTGAGTTAGATTTATTTTTTCCACTCAGCTATTATGAAATAAATTTACCAATAATATGAATCAGAGTAAGTTTAGCTCTTACCTTAGATTTAACCCCTTTGATCAACAGGTTAAGTATTAGAACGTTAAATAATTTCGATGAGTACTATTAATGTCGAAATGATATTCATTAGGGTACATGTAGTGACAACATTGTCTTTTCCCAAAGAATTCTGGCCCAATGTACTTCCACTTATTTGAAGTTTATTCAGTAATTTACCTGTGAACTCATAGAGAATTACCAGGTACTATAAAATATCAAATCTTGGGCTACTTTTTAAATAATAATAATGGTAAATTATTGAATACTTACTATATACTATATACCGTGATGAGTGCTTTATACAGATTATTGCAAATACAACAAATTTACAAGATGAGCAGTATCATCCTCACTGAAGGGTTGAAAAACACAGGGTTCAGAGATGTTAAGTAATTTGTCCAAGGCCACACAGCTAGTAAATTGCAGAGCTGAGATTTAAACCAGGCTTGTGTGAATGTCAAGCATGTGACATTTCCACCCTTACACACATCCTTCGCTTACAGCCTACAAACTCTTTAAAGGCTATGTAGTGCAGTGGTTACGGACCTGATTCTGGAGCCAGACTGTTATGTCTCAAATACCAAATCTGCTTATTCCTGGCTCTAACAACTAATACACAGCAATCTTTATTCCTCTGAAGTCTCCCCTTGCCCTTGGGAAACTTATTTAAACTCTCTGTACCTCAATTTCCTCATAAATAGAATGGAGAGATGACCACAATACCTACAACATTGGGTCCTTCTGAAGATTGACTAGCTTCATCTATCTAAAGTGCTTAGAACAACGTCTGGCACATAGGAAGCCCTGAATCAGAGCAAATATTATTATTCTAGAAAAATAATGTGACATGCCAAGCATGTATCTCACATTATAAAGAATTATATTCTAGTGCCTTATGCTAGAAGTGATTTGAACATTTACCATTTTGATCTTAATCCGAAAGAGGTTGAATCAAACCTATGACATACTTAAAAATATAATTGATTAGAATAGGCTAGCCATACTATTTTCAGTATTGTCCTCCTGTAGAGAAAGCTGGATTAGGGTCTCTAACAGGCAATATAAAAAGATTATTATTTCCATTTCCTACTGCAGTATCAACTACAAAGATGTACAATGTGTAGGCTTATCTCCTAATGAAACAGACTTCATTGTCTTCATTTATAGATGCTGTAAAAGTCTGAAAGATCAGCAGACAAGGGGGATTTGCCAAATTAATACCTAGGGGTTTTTTTGTTTTGTTTTGTTTTGTTTTGTTTTTTTTGCAATTGACGAAGTTAGGCTATACTCCAGGAATATTCTTGTGATTTGGAAACCATGCAACACTGGTGAGCTCTATCAGGATCAGCTTTACCCTTTACTTGGGCTGGGAGGAGGGATTCTTAGCCATCTCTGCTCATATCAGCTGCTTGTGTGTACTTTTACAAACATCTACAACTTTTGTTTTGATGTGCGCATTCATTATTTGTAAAGCCCAATACTTTCCAGCTATTCATTCCTGTTTGTGAAATCTGCAGTGTTTGAATTTTGACTTTGCAATTGATCTGTAAAGGAAGGAAAAATGCTTTTTAGGAAAGTAATTTCCGATAGACAAAGCTTGAGCCTGCTGGCTGGTTTTTCCATTTTGTTAATTGATTGGTCCGTCAGTTGGTAAGGGTTTATTTGAAACCAGTGATGTGCCCAGCACTGTACTAAATTAATATAGGACATGAGGCATTAATCCTCTACACAATGAGCTTTCAGAGAGTGTTATAGTCAGAGAAACCAGACGCATACCTAAACATATTAGCAAATAATAGTTTGTTATACATACATAGAGAGAGAGAGAGAGAATACATTGCGTAGTGCTCCGTGTAATGTATAGTGAAGTACTAATTTTGATTTTATAGACAAGAACAAGTAAAGCTCAGGGGAGGAGAGATTACTATGCACTAGGGCTAACCATAGGTCATCCTCGAGGAAGGGGGCTTGAGGTTTGGTTAGGGTCAGGCTGGTGTTAGCAGGAAGAAGAGCAGGAACACATGGAGGGAAATGCAGAAATGTTCAATAGTTAAAAAAACAAGGCTAGCCTAGAGATTATTCCTGGCAGTAAAGAAAAGTAAGAGA